ATGACAGAGATCGGTCTCCCCCACCTAACTCTATTGATATGTCTGTGTCGTAACATATGTGTGTGTACCTGTGAAGTTGTGTGAACCCATGACAGAGAACGGTCTCCCCCACCTAACTCTATTTATATGTCTGTGTCGTAACATATGTGTGTGTGTATACCCACAGGTATTATAACTATGACTTTTAAGCGGCATGTATGCCCGAAGGCCATATGTATCTGCCCATAGGCAGTGTGCAGTGTATCAGTGACCGTAGGCTGTGCAATTTGCCCATAGGCCACGGGTATGCAGTGTATAGGTGGGCCCGTAGGCAGTGCAGGTACCGAGGACCATATGTGAGTATGTGTGTAGACTCGAACCTGTAACCTGTAGCATATAACTAAACCTTCCATGTATGCTAGATGGAAGTGCCAGATGAGGGAGATCATCAGAGCAACCAGTAGTCCTGAAGTAAGCCCGCATAGGTAGAATCCGACATACAACAACCCGGACTAACCCTTGGATGGTGCACAATAGCTTACCTGCGTCAGCCCAAGGGAGTGTGCAAGTGCCCATGCGTTATGTAAATGCCTTCCGGTGTTCTTCTGCGCAGAGTTGCGGAGTTTTGAACCCGCAACCTCAGACCACAACGCGCATTAACAACCGGTGCCCTAACCACTGACCACACGCCACTTGCCTGGACAAATACTCTTGTAACTTGTACGAGTATTTGTGCCAACAGCGCACACATCGCCAATTGACGTGTGCGTATTGCACACGGGGCACTGCACCGCATCGCGCACCACACTGGTGCACTGCAAATATGGCTCAGAATCTCAATCTATGTGCTGTCTGTTCTGATCTGGAATAGGAGGACCTAGTGCACTGTCTGATTAAATTCAAAGAGGCAACGGAACAGACTTGTGGGACCACCTATTTGCCTCCCGCTTTCCTGAACACACCACCCAACTCCTCCTCTGGACTAACATGCCACCCCACTTTGACAAATCTGAAAAGACCTGGTTTGAAGCTATAACTGGCATGTGCTGGGATGATACCTGAGGGGAATCGTGAGTAAGGCAAGCTGACAGTCAATCCTCCTGGTATAGGGAATAATCATTGCTGATCAGGGATCCTTCAGCCAAATGGAAGGAAGCATGAGCGTGTACATGAGATAAATTATGACTTGCCGGGGAAAAAGGAACCGGACCGAAGATCCCCAGAATGGATATCGAGCCGAGACCATAAGGCCTGTCTCTCAACAAAAAAAAGGGGTGGAAAAAAAAAAGAGAGAGACTGGTTGGCAGCTCGCCAACCGGTCGCCCTTACTGATAGGGTGCAAAACAGTTGGTAGTCGGCGTTGGCGGTCAGCAGGAATGCAACCCTGTAGCCAGGATTCCTGACTCGGGATCTGAGGTTCATTATTTGGAGGTAACGAGATTGAGGCGGAGGAGAGACTTGTAATGACCTGCAAAATCGCAGACTGAGAAATATGCTGTTTTCTGAGTTTTGCCGCTTGACTGACTGACTTGCTGAGATTCCCATATTCCGCTGAGTTCCTGTGTGTTTGTCTGACTGCATGATTGCTTGGGTTGTGTTTGACCCTCCAGAATACTTGTATGCTGGAGAGGCCCTCGGGCCCAGTACTTACCTGTGGCCGTGCTTTTGTGGGGATGCAGGGGGAACTTAGAAGTAGGCTAGGCCCGCGTAGGATGGAAGACACTCAAGTAGCGGGTAGGTAGGCAGAAGAAGACAAAGAAGTTAGAACCTTTAGAGGCCGAAAGAATTTTAGAGTCCGGTAGGCTTAGTCTAGGGGTACCGGTCCATCAGTCTGAGTCTAGGGCCTGCAGTGAGGGATATCAGCTGCAATGATGTTTCCCTCCGAAACTGTGAAGGTACCGGTAGCTTGGGAGGCTGCGCAACCTGGAAAGTCACTGATCGAAGAGGCAGTAGGGCGGAATATCTTCGGGAAGAGCAAAGAGCTTTTGCTCCTTTGCAAGTTGGGCGACATACTGCTTGGAGGAGCCCTCGGTGTAATAGCGCTGGCGCCGCTAGGGAGGAAGAAGGCGGGCTTGGACCTCTACCTTAGCTAGGGTGGAGAGGACCAAGGAGGAGACTCCGGACAAGAAGGAATAGGAGGAGGAAGACGGTGTGCAAGGAGGAGAGTGGCAGGGGTGCTTACCTGGCCATGGTGGTCTGCATCTTCATCGTCTTCCTTGGCACTGCACCTGGAAGGCCTTAGTTGGGGTTGAGGTAGTGATAGGCATGGCGCAACATCAGAGCTTTGCTCCGTTAGTCCACCATAGCCACCTGCTCGGCCAAGGAGGGAGAAGGTGTATGAGATGGCTATGGTTGACCTCTTTAGTGGCTGGCAGTAAGGAGAGGATTCGGACATTGGTTCTGGTTCATTCTTTTATTGTCATTATTACTATTATTATTGTAAAGAAGTTGGGGGAGTAACAGGAGGTTAGAGATGGTGGCAAGATGGAGGGGGATTTGACATTAAACTTCGTTGGTGTACATCTTCTTCTTCTTGCATTCTCAGTTCTTCATCCTCCTCTTTGTCTAGTTCTCTTTCCGAGTCCTGTGTGTAATTACAGCGCGCAGTTTCTTCTATGTTTGGTTTGGACCCCTCCCCGACTGGTGTGAGATGTAATCTGAGTGATTTGGCTGGATTGTCATCTCGTGATCTTTGGACTTTGCATCTCGGATCATCACTGGGCATTCGTTTTGGGTATGGTGGACCTTCACTTTATTTTTCCTGGTCCGCACTGGCTCAGGAAGACCCCTGCTGGGTTACCGGTTGCATATGGACTTCATACAGTGGGAGGCTATGGCGGTAGGAGATGGGAGAGGCATGGTAGGAGTTGCATTGACCTCTGAACATCTGTGCCAGACAAGGATGCGCCGCCATGGCTGGTTTCCACACCAAGAGGAGAGGAGAGTTAGAGAAGGCTAAAGGAGTGCTCTTTCTTCACTGACAGTATGGGGATCATTCAGACATTTATTACAAATTTCCAAAATCTCAAGCACTTTCACTCGTCATCTCACTTACACACTCAATTGAGATGAGATCACACTGGACTCCAACTCCACAGAAAATCGGAATTGAATAGTCACATACAAAATGGTTGATGAAACCAGAAAAAGGTGATGGATAGTTGAAGGCCCGGCCTCCCTGAGCAATATGCAATAATCCGCTCGAGAAACCGTCCAGTGAACGGCAAGTTCTCACTGGCTATGGATGCACTCTCTCTCTCCTTGAGCAGTACTGAAAGAAGCTCCTCTCTAGTCTCACCAAGCAGCAAAAAATCTGATGAATGCATTCTGAATGAGGGTTTTGCCCCAACTAGTCAGTTTTGAGGAGCAGCTACTTGCCTAGGCCTACAGTGTCAGCCTACCAAAAGAAAAGCCTAAAACTACGACCCAAATCGCTATGCTAGGCAATTAGGGACTGTACACACAGGTCCCGGGCTCAAAACTCATCTGCTTCAGAACAGTACAAAACAAAACAAAACAACTGTTCATACTTTGTTTGGTTCCCAGTTCAAACCCGGGCAAGAACAAAAATAGCAGAAACTTGAAATACAGCAGATAATTGGGCAGGTTGCGGGTTCAATCCCGCAATCCCCAACACACTAGTTCTTCTTCATTCATTCATCTACTACTATATGTGAGGGACATGTGCGAGAGGAGGGAGATGACATTGATCTGATCTCGTGTTTGTTGTATTCTTTCTTTCTTTCTTTCCTTCTTCGTTCTACTTCCCTCCTAGTCTAATTGCTCTTCTCTTCAAGTTGCAAAGTATGACAGTCTCAAAGTTGTCTTGCATTATGAATTCAGCAGGATCAGAGCAACTGTATGATTGTTTGTGTTATATGCTGCACTATGCGATGCGATTGAATGGCGGTTGCATGACCTCTTTCATTTACTCACTGCGTGATGCAATCCTGGTACACACCAGGCGTACTATTGTACGCTGTGTACGTGAGGTACGCCCTCGTACATAGTGTACGACGGGGGTGTGGGCTGCGTACCACACACATTTGCACCCAAAAAAATGTTGTTGTTGTTTTTTTTTGGGAGGCGGGTTGGAGGGAGAGGGTGCCCACCTGGTGGGGTTTCTTCCCAGAAAAGCTGCACCCTGGTTTCGGCTGTACCAGACCGGGAAGATAGCTTGTATACATTAATTATCTGGGTGGGCTAAGAGACCCACCCTGATAATGAATGTATACAAGCTATCTTCACCGTCTGGTGCAGCCGAAATGAGGGTGCGCCGTTTTCGGGAAGCCCTCTCTCTCTCTCTCTCTCTCTCTCTCTCTCTCTCTCTCTCTCTCTCTCTCTCTCTCTCGCTCTCACACACACACATACACACACACACACACACACACACACACACACACACATGCACACACATGCACGTTCACAGATCTCTCTCATACCTAAAGGTCCAAAAACACACCATTTGGAAAAAAAAAAACAACGGTTTTTTTTTGGTCTTGTAGTATGCGACCGGGGACATGCCCCCATGCTTTTCTTTTTTTTGGGGGGGCTGAATTCCCTCATGAGTGACGTACTTCAGAGTACAACATGAGTTTAGTACTCGCATTGTACTCTTTGTACCCGCGTACAAAACAAAAAAAAATTGGTACGCATACCTAAAGGTCCAAAAACACACCATTTGGAAAAAAAAAAACAACGGTTTTTTTTTGGTCTTGTAGTATGCGACCGGGGACATGCCCCCATGCTTTTCTTTTTTTTGGGGGGGCTGAATTCCCTCATGAGTGACGTACTTCAGAGTACAACATGAGTTTAGTACTCGCATTGTACTCTTTGTACCCGCGTACAAAACAAAAAAAAATTGGTACGCGAGACCACGCCTAGGGTACACATGCGTGTCACTGTGAAAGAAAATTGTGGGCGCAATGGTACATGGCAGAGAAGAAATGACCTTGTCAATAAGAATTGAGAGTTTGGAGAGTAACAACTGGGTTGTGTTTTGTTGAGTTCATCACTCTTACCTCTACATGGCCTGTAGTCAGATTGAGCTGCTGAGTAATCTCGATAGTGAAGTTTTGGATCACCAGGGTTTTATTCATGTCCTGATATTTCTGATTGAACTGAAGACCAACAGTTATGGGCTTCAGGCAGTAGCATGAGTCAACATCAAGCAGCTGCCATGCCTCACAAAGGCCTGGATAACACCCTGAAGACAGGAGAGAGTAAGGAACGCAGAAATGAGCAACAGAACGGCAAAACAGCGAAGCCTGTCAGCCAAAGATAGTAAGAGTAAAAGATCACTATTCTTTCTTTTTTGCTTTTTCTTTTTTTTTTTGATAAAGCAGGTCCTTATGGTCCTGGCTCGTTTCCATTCTGGGGAGCGTCAGTCCACCCGGCAAGTCAAATTGAATACAACATGATACACGCACACCCTTCCTTCCGTATGGCCGAAGGACCCCTGATCAGCATTGATTGCTCCCCTGGAGGAGGATTGAATGTCAGCTTGCCCTGCCCACTTGTTCCTCTCAGGCTCCACCCAGAGCCTGTCAGATAGATCTAAGAAAAACTAGAAAAGTGGAAGGATCCACTACCAGTTGTGTATCTGAGTCTATCTCCTCTCCCGCATCCGACTGTCTCTGCTGTTGCTCATCAGGATATTGCCTCTTCCTGGGGTTCTTCGCTTGACATAGCCTCATGACTGGGCCTGGTACCACTTCTTCCATCTCAGCCTGTTATCTGTGAGGGAGGCAATATTGCCCTTTAGAAGCCAGTCTCTCTGGAATGTGCATCTCTTGCTTGCTTGTCTTTCTGGTCTGTGTTTCATAGGAGCCGCTATCTTTCACCATCTGCTTCGGATTTCAGTCTCCACCATACTCAGCAGTAGAGACCACATTTCTTCTCGTGCCACCCCTCCCTTGATGTTACTGGGGGTGTTAGCGAAGAGTAGGATAGTTAGAGGGGGGGTGTAGGGAGGTGGTGTTGCAAAGAGGATCGACCAAAGTCCCAGAACCTTGTTCCAGATCCAGGTCGCTTCCGGACAGAAGAGAAGGCAGTGGGGTATGTCTTCGGGTACATTGTTGTGACACAGCGTGCAGGATGCTGAGCTGTCTGGGTCTGAGTGCTTCCTTCTCCAGTGAAGCCATTGGTTGACAGGGAGGGCTGTTTGAGCTACTACGGATTCTGATCGGTCTGATGAGAAGATATTTGGTCCATGGGATGGTGAGTGGGGTCTCCGGGTCTAAGTGGAGGATGTTTCTCCACTTAGTCACCATCCTGGGGTTCGGGTCTGTGGTCTGCAGTCCGAGGTAGTACCCGAACTTTACATCGTATTCTGTTATCGTTCTTGACTTCCCGGTGGTGCCCTGCTCCCACATCCACTCCTTTGGGTCGAATTCGAGCTCCTCAATTCTGAGTTCTGGTTGGAAGATGATCCACGGCTTGCTGTGAGAGACTCTCACCTTCCTAAGCAAGAAGGTTTCCACCCGTTCGTTCTGTGGTGTTTTGTTTTGAGCTTCTAGTTCATATAGACTGCGATTGGTGGTAGGATAGGATACGAAGTTGGCCTGGTAGCTGGTTGGATCTGGTCTAAATACAAAGCGGTAGGCTCTTGTTGGAGGGGTCTGGGAGATGGGTAGGCCCCAATCTCCTGGTTTCCATGTGCATTTCTCTCTTAGGAGGGCCGTCCACAGGGGAGGGATGCTTTGGTGGATTTCTGCTACATTGGTGCTCACGGAGTGACAACCTTTCAGGGGGGTCCGGATTTCTTGGTCGGATAGCCAGTCCAGTCGCTCCTCGGACCATAGATGTTTGACCTGACATACTCCTCTCTCTACCCGGGACAGCAATCTTCGATCTTTTGCCTGGAGGTCCAGGGCTTGCCCTCTGTGTCTTTGATCCAAGGATTGCAGAACAGGGGCTGTCTGAGGACTTCCTCTTTGTTGCTCGGTGCCCCTCTCTTGTTTGGCATCAATCGTCGCCAGGCCTTCAGAATCAGTGTCCAATAGGTGTTGGGCATGGGATTGGGCTGAGTAGACAGTGGTTGCTGGGTTTTCCTCATTGATCTCTCTAATTTGAGCGACCAGTCTTTGGCCATGATCCAAAACAGGCCGCTCATGTTAGGTGGAGAGGTTACAGGTGCCAGGTTCCTGATGCTGTCTAAGGCCAGTTTAGTCTAGGGAAGCGATTGTTTTGTTCAGATCTTGACTATCCAAGTCATATGAAGGGTGATCGCTTCCTGTTTTGCGTCAGTGATGCCTAGACCCCCTTCATGCGGTTTCCTGATGACGATTTGCCACGCCACTTTGTTTATGCAGGAGGTAATATTGGGGTCTCCGGTCCACAGGAAGCATCTGGCCCTAACCTTCAGGCACCTCAGGTCGTCATTCGGAGGGGACCATATGGATGCCATGTACCATAGCGTGGATAATATTGTTCTGTTGATGATTAGTGCTCTGCCCAATAGAGAAGTCTGGGCTCTTTTGCAAGGAGCTAGGCGGGTTATTGCTCTGACTAATAATTCTCCCCCATCCGTTGCCAGATGTCGTCTTTGTTGGTCATGATACCCAGGTACCGGAGTGCTTGGTCGCCCGTGGACCATGACATTGGGATGGATAGGTCCGGGTTTTGGGGGGGGGGTGTCTTCTGCTAACCACCAGCCTTCCGTTTTAGACCAATTCACCTTCATTTTTTGATGCGAGTCGGAAGGCTTCCATAGCTCTGACCAAGGCTTGAAAGGAGGAGTTGTTTGCACGATTGAGAACCGTGAGGTCGTCAGCGAACATCAGCGAAGTGGGTAGGGCGAAGTCATGAAGGGGACTGTAGTTCTGTTCGGTGAGACGGTTTGTGGAGGGGACTTCGCGGAGGAAGGAGGCTATGGCTTCCACGATGAACAGGAAAATTTGGGGCGCCAGCGGGGCGCCTTGGCGAACGGATCTCGATATCGGGTAAGTGTTTGATAGTATTCTGTTTTTTTGGACTCTGGCCGTGGCGTCTCCGGTAGAGCACTCTTACCCATTCTCTGATGTGTGGGCCGACTCCCATCTTCTTCATACAACTATGGAGGAAATCCCAGTTGACTTGACAATAGGCCTTTTCAAAGTAAAAAAACAGGATTGCAGCCTGCATTCATTTTTCTGTGATCTTCTTTGCTGCCTCATTCAGGGCCATCACATTGCCTAGTATGTACCTTCTCGGAATGAAACGTGCTTGGTCAATGTGAAAACATTTGTCTGTGAGTTTTATGATCCTGTTGGCTAGTGTTTTTGCTAAGATTTTGCAGGGGGTTGTGAGAAGTGAGATCGGTCTGTAGTTTTTAGGCCTCTTTTCCCCCTTTCTTGTGAATTAGAGAGACCACACTGGTGCTTAAAAATTGACCCTGACCGCCCTTTTCCTTGCTGTCATTGATGAAGTTGAGGAGGTCATTCCCCATTATCGACCAGAAGTGGAGCCATAACTCTTTGGGTAGGCCATCGATTCCTGGTGCCTCGTCGTTACCCCAAGGTAATTAGTTTGTCCATGTCCTCTGTTTGCTCCTGTGAGATCGTCCTTTCTAGATACGACATCATATGTTGGCGGGCGGTGATGTTCGTTGTGGGAGGGGGGGAAGGGGTCTTGGACTCGTAGAGGTCAGCATAGAAGGATCTGGCGATCCTTATCATGCATGTGCCGGCTGATTTTGTCTTACCCTGGTCTGTTGGATCTTTCAGCCTCTCGATCATGTTGTTTCTAGCATTGGCCTTGATTTTTGGAAGAAGAACTTTGTCATGGATTCGTTAAGGCTGTAGTCTGTCATTCTGGTGCGCGACTGGCGAGGCGCTGGCTTGGGGTGACTAGTAAGATGCTAGCTGACACGTGGCGCGGTGCTGGCAGCCGACGAGAGGGAGGCGCTGGTGCGAGGGCGCTGTGATGTTGTGAATTAGATGGGGGATAGCGCTTGACGCACGCAGGGTATCCAGAGGCGCTGGGTCATTACTACGTCACAGGCTGACGTGGATTCTGGCCTGAGGCACAGAGGAAAAGGGATAATGGTAGCGGCAGCTGCTGTTTGAACACTTTCCCTGTGTTTTTCACATGAAGTACTCCATAGCCAAGACCTTTAAAGAGGTTGGAGAGCTCATGCGAGTTGACGAAAGTCGATGTCGGCGGAGGAAAGTGGAGTCAGCCCCGTGGAGACCAAAGTGCGGAGAACATTGGTCCAGCTTGAAGAATCATCACAGTGCCACTGGGAGAGTATCATCTAGAGAGCGGCTAGGAGGTCGTCATCAACCTATATATGTGCTTTCGTCTGTTTGTTGTCTTGTGCAGGTTATCCATCAACAGCATCAAGATTTTCATCATTGTCATTTCAGCGGGGGGTTTTCATCAAGGAAACCGTCATTTTTGTAATCCTCATTTGGTTACCGGTGGTAATCATCATCGGCTTCTCTAATTCGTCATCCATGTTATTTATCTTCTTTTTATCTTCTTCATGATCATCATCTGGACTTCTCTGTAAAAAAATCGTAATCATCGTCATCTTCTATTTTCATTACAGCAATAGTGAGCTGTCAATCTTCCACACCAATGTCATTTGGGCATTGCAAGTCCGACGTTCCTTACTTATTTTTGCCAATTTTATTTCATCATCATCATCATCATCATCATTATCATCATCATCATCATCATCATCTACCAATCTGAATCTTTATCATCATCAATCATCATCATCATCTACCAATCTGAATCTTTATCATCATCAATCATCATCATCATCATCATCATCATCATCATCATCACGGTTTCTTTATTCATTTTTTCATCAATCTGTAGTTATCTCTGTGTTGGTGGTTATATTCTCATCTCCCAGATAGGCTATGGTCTAGTTGGTAGGTAGGTTGGTCAGGAAGGGAGCGCTACTCTGCAGGGGTAACACAAGGTGGGAGGTGATTGCCCTCCAGGGAGTAGACGCAGATGATGGGAGCTGACCTGGGCTGGGGCTGGGAGATATGTATGGGGGCGCATTATCTCCTGGCGGAGGCAGACTAGGTCAGAGTGTTAGTTTTGACTCTTGAGGTACACCTTTTGGGGGAACTGGTTACCTCAAGGTAGAAGGGAATGGGGAGGTTCTCTCTCTCGTTGGGGCTGATAGGAACTTCATGCTGATAGCGGGGTTGGGCTCGGCGGAGGCAGCGAGAGGAGAAAAGGAAATGAGGGGAGAGGAGGAGAATA